TAGAGATTTCTTGTGTTACTTTACAGGAAACAAAGAAACATAAGAAAACATACCGATCGGCACCAACAGATGCGCCAGCGTCCGGCTGCGACCAAGCTAAAGCAGAAGAAAACTAGGAATAATAGAGTGAGGGCTGATGAGAAGCAAGCAATGGGCGGAGGGGGGGTCACGCGTCCTACCTGGGGGCGCCTCGGCCGTAGGTCGGCCGTGACGCCCGAGCGGCCACTCCATGTTCGCGCAGAGCTCGCGCAATTTGCGCGTCGCGCTCTTCCCGCTCGGAGGCTGCTTGCGGATGTGCCGGCCGCCGCCGCTCAGTGCTCCGGGATGATCGGTTCCTCCTCTAGGCGCGGCGACACCTCCGTCTCTGTCCAGCCGGTCGTGCTGCAGGCTCCACTGGCGGACGAGGCGGCGTGGATCTGGCACGGCCGCGAGTCGCGCGGACATTCGTCGTCGGTAAACAACGGGAGCGTTCCGCCGCGTTCGCGAGTTAAGGTGTCGCTATGTGTCGAGAGAGAGAGAGAGACGGGTGCGCACCTTCCATTACGTACGTTTCATCAGACGATGACGAGGCAGAGGTCGCACGTGGATCACGCAGTGCGGCAGATGCGTGCGGTCTGGGGCCGTCGCCGCAGGGCAACGCGTCGCCGAGCATGATTTCGTCATGCGGGAACTTAGTCATTTGGCTTACGCGAATTGTTAGTTGATCCATGGCAAACGGCTAGTTATTCCCCCGCAGGTATCGCATGGCACCTGCGTGTTAATTCCACACCGACAAGTGATCCAATGGCAACAGGTGTTACAATTCCACACAACAGGTATCCATGCAACGCTATTGCCATCCGATGTATCCATGGCAACCGTTGTTTTCCACGCGAGGCAGTATCCGTAGCGACGCTGTTATTTCGAATATGTACAGCCGGTATCCATGACAACGGGTTATTTCCCGTGGCGGGGCTTCACTGGCGTTCACTCCGCGCGGCGACTGACGAGCATGCACGTGGCGGGGGCCCCCCCCGCTTATGTTTTCGCAATGACGCGCTCCCCCCGCCCGGAGCCAGCGTAAGCGCACCAGCACACACACGCGACCATTGCTCGCGGTGCCCCCGACACTTCCGGTGCTGACCACAACTCCCAGATGCTTGCGTATATATCCTAGGTATCACGTGTCTACAGCAACGGAGAGCCACGCTTTGGGACGTGACATCCACGACCCAGGAATTCCACACATACAAATACCACCGAAACAAATCTTTATATGCCAACAAAAACTTTCATAATATTATATACAGGTATATATATATTATATATATAATATATATTATATAGTATATATATAAATACCTATACACACACATAATGACATAGGATTACACATATATATTCATACATACATTATGTGTGTGTGATGTATGACTTCATGCCTCAAGATTTTTACTTGTCTTCATTCTTTTATTTCTCGCTTATATGTATTTTTATTTTGCGATCCAGCGCCACCCCACCCCTGCTCGATCCAACCCGCCACATGACTATGCTCTCTCTCCAACGTGCTAAAATCCTCTCCTATTAATCGTAGATAAACATGGAGAGCAGGGAAAATGAGACGGTGGTGTGAGTCCTCGCTGAAATATGAGAATGGAAGAATGAAATGAGGAGTGCCTGCGCTCATCACGCAGTTGCTAGCGGACGCGGGTGGGGATGTGGTGCGGCTCTACCACACAACACATCACACAACACGCACACACGTACGCACACCGCACACACACGCACCACACGCAACACACAACACACACACACCTACACACACACACACACCGCACCGGCGCGGAGCGATGGCTGCTGTGCGGCACACACACACACACACACACACACACACACACAAACACACCACACACAACCATACACACACCACGCCCCCACACCACACACAGCACACCACACACACACAAACGCACACAACGCACACACACCACATCATTGTAGGGAGATGATTCGTAGTGCTAATGTATACCACCACTGCTGCGCTTCACGTGAGGCACCTGATCATGAGAAGGAGTTAGAGAGGAGAGATGGTAAGCATGGCACACATGCCGCAATAGCTTAACCTAGTTACACATGCTACATTATGTATGTAGTGACTATTATTGTATGTATTGTATGTATGTATGTATAAGGTGTGTGGTTTGTGCGTGTGTCGCGCGTAGTCGCGCGCGCGTGTGTGTGTGCCGTGCGTATGTGT